TTGTTAGAATAAGTGCCCTTCACTAGAGGGGGGGTGAATAGTGAGGCACGAGAATGTTTATAAATTTTCGCGGAATAAAAATCGCAGGGATAAAGTAAAGAGCGGAATAAAAAGGAGTAAAGGGAGCACACCAAGATTTATACTGGTTCACCACAACGTGTGGCTAGTCCAGTCTCCCGAGAGACTCTCTCGAGCTACACTACTTCCGTTAAGCTTACGGGTGCTTAACAAACCGTTACAACCTGAGAACTCGAGTCCCACGAGCCTCAATACACTTGCTCGGAGATACTGCACTCCAAGACTTCAACCCGAAGGAAAATACCTTTCCTTCGTACAACCAAGGGAAACAAGCTTCCCTAAACGTGTTTACAACACTAAGAACACTCAAGAACAAGACTCTCTTTAAGAGTAGATGTTGAGTAAACTATATACGCTCAAGAACAACTCACACTTCACAAATTGGCTCTAGAAAGCTATGGAAAATAATGTTGTTTTGATGCAATGATAATATGAATAAAGTGAAGTGAATTGATGAGAAAAGCAGACCCAAACACCCCTTTTTATAGTGCCAAAGTAGGCTCCAACGGACCAATACATTAAAGGGGTGATTGGCTTTGATTTATGGGATTGAATAAATTTGGAATCTGCTGGATATTTGCTTCCCTTCAGTTTTAAAACCAACGATCACCTACCCATCGATGTGTAAATGCTTCTCATCGCTCGGTGGGAGGTTGACTTTCAAACAAGGAAAGAATCAGCCTTAAATGACTCACAACGATCATGCCTAACCAGCGATGGGTATGCCCTCCCATTGCTGGGTTCCCATCAATGGGTAAAGCTTCCCATCGCAGGGTAAGGGCATTCTGCCTTGTGATAATGTTGGACCAAGGCTTGCCCATCGATGGGTAGAGCTTCCCATCGCTGTTTGGCATGGTTCTGGAATTCAATTGGGCTAAAGGCTGCTTACCCATCGATGGGTAATATCTCCCATCGCTGGGTGAAATGATTCTGGAATCCCGGGATCACTTTCCCATGCATGGGTGATATCTACCATCGCTGGGTAGATGGCTAGTCCAAAACCATGGCCTAGCCGACCGGCGCTATAACCCGACCGAAAAATGCAAAGTTCTCCAAAGTAAAAACTAAGTGTTTAAAACACTTATTTAATGTATTTTGATGTCAAAATAAGCTTTGTATGTTGAAAACCACGTCGTTAAGGTACAAACCACGGATGACCATGTCAATGCCGTACACGGGTGGTTTTTACCAAAAGACAAAACCGAAAGGTGGTTTTCATGATGTTTTGATTGGAGAACCATTTAAATGCATTCAAAAACAATTCCTACACAAAAAGACTTGAAAACCACTTCATTTAAGTAAAAACCACGGCTATCCAAGTTTATGCCATTTCGCATGGTTTTTATCAAACGACAAAAAACAAAAGGTGGTTTTTGAAGTGTTTTTTATGGAAAACTATTTAAATGTTCCCAGAAGTAAAAACCAGTCATAAAAAGTTGAAAACCACTTGGTTGGTTCAGACGCCAAAAACCAACGCCGATAACCGAATGCCAAACGCCGGTTTCTGAAAACCGAACGCCGGTTTCCGAAATCCGAACCCCGGATGGCTTGGTTTTTGGTTTGGGCAAACACCAAGTGTTTTTAATATGTTTGAGCATGTTTGAAAATAATTTTGATGATATGTAAAATGCAATAAAAAATGTTTTAGCCTAAAGAGCCAAAGTGCAAAGCTTGGGTCGGTCTTGATCACATTGTGACCGACTCAACGACGCTAAAGACTATGGTCTTCGTTCTTGGTCTCTTTTAGCTCTTGTTCTCTTGCTTTCTTCTTATATTCAACAACTTGTCTCGTTCACGGCGGTTTGGCATTATCAAAACTTGTCATAAAAACGAACACGACTTTAGTACGAAAAAGCGATAAACCCGTGTTTCAACAATTTCCCCCTTTTTGATAATGGCAAACAAGACGGGGTTATGCATAGGAGGATTGTTTTGAGACTTTGAAAATATTGAGACTTTTGAGAGATGTTTCCCCTTAACAAATGCAACAAGGTTTATGTTTTGAACAAGAGTTAATATTTTAAAAAAATATTGCCGTAGAGAAAGTTCCCCCTCAATCTATGCATAACCTTTATATCTTCCCCCTTTTGACATTAGCAAAAAGCACTTAAAAAATTGTAAAAAAATACTCCATGAACATTGATGTTTGATACTGAACATCGATGTTTGAAAATATCCTAGAGCATCAATTGTCAACAATGTCGTAAAATGAGCTTCCCCCTTGATGCGGTTCATTGGGTTTCGTGCTTGGAGCATCCACTACAAGTTTGTAGTCTTCAAGCACACCCTTTTGTGCATCTAGTAATACCATTTAGGTACCCAATAGCTTTTGGGGCCTTGGAGGTTAGGCAAATAAAAATCATAATCATAATTATAAGAAATGTCCCTATGTTTAGCAAAATAAACGGGAGCTATGTGTCCTATCTTAGAACAATAATGGCATACTACGTTTGGATTATGCATATGCCTAGGTTCAGCCAAAAACTTTCTAGGTGATCTAAAATCATTATTCATAGAATTATTAACTAAATTCCTAGACTCATTTCTAGGTTGTTTCAAAATATTTCTACCATTTGTAAAAATCCTAGAGTCAATTCTAGGTTGTCTCACCTTGTTACTTTTATTCTTTCTAATATTAATTTTGTTATACCTACGATTATTAGTTCTTCTAGGTGGTTTAACATTCTTAACTTCTTGACAAAGTTTCTTAGGCTCTTCTACCTTAATTTTTTCAATGGTGCTCTTAAGTTCTACATTCTCTACTTTTAAAGACTCACATGAGGAACAGGTAGAACTTTGGTCAAAGAAAGAATCTTCATTCATTGCCTTAATTTTATTTTTGAGGTAAAAATTATCATTTTCCAAAAATTTATTTTCCTCTTCCAAAGCATGAATTTTTGCCTTAGCCTCTTTGGCAATTTTTGAAGTTTTCTTTAATTCACCAAATAATTCTTGAAAAGCTTCTTGTAATTCTTCAAATGAGAAAGAGTTAGAAGCACTTACCTCTCCATTTCGTTCATGAGCCATAAGACATAAGGTGGCAGTTTCGTCACCAGAACTTTCTGAATCCCATGCCATGTATGCTCGTTCCTTCTTTTTCTTTTCCTTGCGGTTTGGGCAATATGGCTTTATGTGGCCATGTTCTCCACAACCAAAGCACGTTGGAACGGGTTCCCCCTTTCTTTTACAATCTCGGGACCCAAGTTCTTCCTTCAAAAACTCTTGGAACTTCTCGAGCAAGTTATAAGAAGGATTATGGTCATCGCTATCGGAGTCACTTACCTCTACCCTTTTTGAGGATGAGGCTTTGAGAGCGAGACCGGGACTCTTGTCAAGAGAAGGTTTAAGAATAGTGGATTCATAAGTTTTANGAAACAAGCTTCCCTAAACGTGTTTACAACACTAAGAACACTCAAGAACAAGACTCTCTTTAAGAGTAGATGTTGAGTAAACTATATACGCTCAAGAACAACTCAAACTTCACAAATTGGCTCTAGAAAGCTATGGAAAATAATGTTGTTTGGATGCAATGATAATATGAATAAAGTGAAGTGAATTGATGAGAAAAGCAGACCCAAACACCCCTTTTTATAGTGCCAAAGTAGGCTCCAACGGACCAATACATTAAAGGGGTGATTGGCTTTGATTTATGGGATTGAATAAATTTGGGATCTGCTGGATATTGGCTTCCCATCGATGTTTGGACTCACCCATCGTTGGTAAGCCAATTTCCCTTCAGTTTTGAAGCCAACGGTCACCTACCCATCGATGGGTACAAGCTTCCCATCGCTGGGTGGGAAGTTGACTTCCAAACAAGGAAAGAATCAGCCTTAAATGACTTCCAACGGTCATGCCTTCCCATCGATGGTTAAGCCTTCCCATCGCCGGGTTCCCATCGATGGGTAAAGCTTCCCATCGCTGAGTAAGGGCATTCTGCCTTGTGATAATGTTGGACCAAGGCTTGCCCATCGATGGGTAGAGCTTCCCATCGCTGTTTGGCATGGTTCTGGAATTCAATTGGGCTGAAGGCTGCTTACCCATCGATGGGTAATATCTCCCATCGCTGGGTGAAATGATTCTGGAATCCCGGGATCACTTTCCCATGCATGGGTGATATCTACCATCGCTGGGTAGATGGCTAGTTCAAAACCATGGCCTAGCCGACCGGCGCTAAAACCCGCCTGAAAAATGCAAAGTTCTCCAAAGTGAAAACTAAGTGTTTAAAAAACTTATTTAATGTATTTTGATGTCAAAATAAGCTTTGTATGTTGAAAACCACGTCGTTAAGGTAAAAACCACGGATGACCAAGTCAATGCCGTACACGGGTGGTTTTTACCAAAAGACAAAACCGAAAGGTGGTTTTCATGATGTTTTGATTGGAGAACCATTTAAATGAAGTAAAAAACAATTCATACACAAAAAGACTTGAAAACCACTTCATTTAAGTAAAAACCACGGCTAGCCAAGTTTATGCCGTTTCGCATGGTTTTTATCAAACGAGAAAAAACGAAAGGTGGTTTTTGAAGTGTTTTTGATGGAAAACTATTTAAATGTGCCCAGAAGTAAAAACCAATCATAAAAAGTTGAAAACCACTTGGTTGGTTCAGACGCCAAAAACCAACGCCGATAACCGAATGCCAAACGCCGTTTGAGCATGTTTGAAAATAATTTTGATGATATGTAAAATGCAATAAAAAATGTTTTAGCCTAAAGAGCCAAAGTGCAAAGCTTGGGTCGGTCTTGATCACATTGTGACCGACTCAACGACGGTAAAGACTATGGTATTCGTTCTTGGTCTCTTTTAGCTCTTGTTCTCTTGCTTTCTTCTTATATTTATTTCTCGCCTTGTATATTCAACATCTTGTCTCGTTCACGGCGATTTGGCATTATCAAAACCTGTCATAAAAATGAACACGGCTTTAGTACGAAAAAGCGATAAACCCGTGTTTCAACAGATGGTAACTTTTGGGTGAAATTATTATGTTGGAATTTTTATTTAAATTAAATTACTAGTTTTTATTATTGTGAACTTTGAAAGAATACAAATCTATCTTTGAAAATTATATTCTTTGAGAAATCTTAAATTTAATTAAGTCAAGTCCTTTAATATTGATAATTAATCTCTTGATTTGGGGTTGATTATTAAGTAAATAATTAAAATATTATTTACTTACTAGTAAAAAGATTCAAGGTAAAAGTAAACCCAACTAACAATTATAACCTTAAATAGCCATCACCCGAACAATAATTACATCCCTATATTTTAATGCTGAAAAGTTAAAGCCAATTTCCACTTGTTTATCGAATTCTTGAAAACATTATGATTCAACAAGTAAATATTGTCTAGCTAGTCTTGCTAAACTTTCCCTTGAGCCGATCCTTGAGACGACACGGGGATAAACTGATCTCTTGAGATCTAGTTTACTCCGTATACTACTACAGGATTTTGAGTCAAGTAAAAATTTTCTACCAAGGACTCTGGCAGTGTCGTCGGACTCATCATACTCCGAACCATATCGAGTAAGGTTCAGTTCCTCCTCTCTGAAATTCAATTTAATTGGGGTGTGCCAGGAGGAGTGAGGTGAGATAGAATCTCGTGCTCTCGTAGATAGTGATCAAACTCTAGACTCAAGTACTCACCTCCACGATCCGAACATAGTGTCTTGATACTTTTGCCTAATTGTTTCTCTACTTCATTTCTGGATTCTTTGAACTTGTCAAAGAATTCTGATTTGTGTCTTAAAAGATACACGTATCCATACCGACTGAGGTCGTCAGTAAATGTGACGAAGTATGAGAAACCACCTCTAGCTTCACTGTTGATTGGGCCACACACATCAGAGTGTATGAGGCCCAATACATCACTCACCCTTTCACCGTGACCAGGCAATGGAGCCTTTGTAATTTTTCTGAGTAAACAAGATTGGCATACATCATAAGACTCAAGGTCAAATGAATCAAGTACGCCAGAGTGACGTAACATAGATATGCGTTTCTCGTTAATGTGGCCCAAACGACAATGCCAGAGGTACATGAGATTAAAACCCTTAGGCTTGTTTCTCTTAGCATATACGTTATATATGGGGGCGTCTAAGTCTAAGACATATAGACCATTAGTCATTTGAGCAGTTGCATAAAACATATCATTTCTTAAAATATTCAAACATTTGTCTTTTACAACAACGAAATATCCTGCTTTGTCAAGGCAGGATATAGAAATAATATTCCTGCTAATTGCAGGCACAAACAAAACATTGTTTAATTGCAAAACAAGATCACTCCGAGGAAGTAAATTATAGGTTCCGAAGGCCAACGCACTGACAACTGCTCCATTGCCGACTCTAAGTTGAAGCTCTCCCTCTGTCAACTGTCTCACCTCATGCAGATCCTACATAGAAGTACATATGTGAGAACCACATCCAGTGTTAATCACCCAAGCGGTGAAATCAGACATGTTGACTTCAATAACATAAATACCTGAGGTGACGAGCTGTTTGCCCGCTTTCCTGTCTGTCATAAGCTTTGCGCAGTTGCGCCTCTAGTGGCCTTTCTTGCGACAATGGTAACAGACAACAGTGACTTTCTTCTTGTTCTGGGCTCCTTCTTTCAGCTTCTGTGCAGAGAGGCTGGAACTAGGCTTGGGGTGCTTAGACCCCTTACCTCTTTTCCCGGCCGGCGGACGTGACCCACCTCTCGTTGCCTGTGCACTGTCCTCCACCATTAGGACTTTCTTTGCCTTTCTTCTCCCAAGACTCTCCTTAGCGCTGGTAAGGAATCTCAACAGCTCAGCTAAGGTCATGTCGAGTATGTTCATATAGAAATTCATGACAATTTGACCATACTCTACTGGTAATGCTCCCAAAATGAGATCAGTTGCTAGCAATGGGTGCAAGGGTGCCTCCCGTTTTTCAAGCATTTCAATCATGCCGATTAGCTTGAGAACGAGCGGGCCAATTAGAGATCCCGATGCCAGCTTGTTGGAAAACAGAGTTTTAGAGATCTTGAAGCGTTCATGCCTAGCCTGACCTTGGTAAATGTCTTTCAAGCGCTGCATCATGGGGCGCGCTTCCATGTCCTTTTGGAGCCTTTGGCGCTCTGGGATCATGCTGGCCAGGATGATGCACTTCACATCACGCGTGCGTTTGCCGTGGGTGCATTTGGAGGCTCTTTATAAAGGATATAGTGCTTCCTCTCCAGTTCAAGAACGATTTGGAGACTTAACTCTAGTGGTCCCAAAGTGGTGAAATACAAAATCTAGAGGGGGGGGGGGGTGAGTAGACTTTGTTACAGATTTAAAATCTTTTTCGTTTCTTTTGAAAACGTGAAAATGAGTGTTAATCTAGAGTCCTTGTGAACTTTAGATTGTGTGCGGAATTTGGTGGGTAGAGTGAGCAGTAATCAATATGGATGGGTTAGTTTTCAAAGTTAATATAATAGCAAGTAAGAATAAATATAAAAGAGAGAGACACGCAAACTTTTAACGAGGTTCGAAGGTGGGGTAATCCTTCTACGTCCTCAAAATCCACTATGTAGTTGGTTGTTGAATAATAAACCAACAATTACACTTGTGTGAATTTCTGCACGGTATATCTTCACAAGACCAATGTTGCTACTGCACTCGTGCTGGCTTTGTTGTTCCTTCGAAGGTCAAGCTTCTTCAACAACTGCAAGGTCCGAACAATAGGACTTGCAAGATCAACTTGTAAGAGAGTTGACCTACCCCCTTTTAATCAATAAGTATGATCAAAAGTAATATCCTTCAACGTGGTGTGGTGCTTGAGGCAAGGAAACCTTCAAGTGTTTACACTATAGCTCTTTGGAAGGGGGAGAAGTTTGCTTCTGGATAAGGAGTTTAGAAATCTCTCTTTATCAAGCTTTTTGGGCTAACTGTGAATGAGATAGCTTTGTTGTTAGAGATTGCTTCGTTGTGTTGTTGTATCTCATTGTTCTTTCTCCAGTCTTCCAAGGATGCTATTTATAGCTAGATTGGATAATCTATTCGTTGAATCATAATAGACTATCCGTTGCATTTGCTGGCTTCAATTTTGATTGAAGATTGTGATTTGAAGATTCCTCATTGGAATGGGTGTTTGGACATACCCATTTGTTAAAGGAGAGATTCCTTTTTCCATAGAGTCCGTCTTCTAGCTGTAGTTCAAGTATTCTGGACTATAGAACTTTACTCTGTTTGTCTTTTAGTGCTTGTTTAGGAATTCTGGACAGGTTCTTCAATTCTTAGAGGTTCAGACTTTGTCTTCGAGTCATTTGTTCTTGAATCAGCATAATTATCTTCAATCTAGCCGTACTTTTAGTTCTCTAACTAAAAAGGAATGGTTGCCCATCTTAAAGAAGTAAGTTCTGAATCTATTAAAAGATTCAGAAAAGAGTGAACAGGGCTTTTTGAGAATTCCGGTCTTCCCTGAGGCATCCGGTTCTTAGCTGACAAATCCGGAGGAGTCATTCTCAGACTTCCGGGTGAGAAGGAGATCCGCGCTAGTCTTCCGATTTGGATGACTTAGCCTTCAGCGGGTTGTAGCGAGACATCCGGTTCTTATGTAGTCTTCCGGATCAGAGGATTTTCATCTGCTTAAGAAATCCTTACTTGTCTCTAGCATTTCCGATCAAGATATCCAATTTCCATATCATTGAATTTGATTAAGTCTTCAGGCATCAAAACGCTTAAAGAAATATCACAACCTTATTGGAAATCTCAAGAACTTGGTTTTAACAATATTTCTAAAAAGAAAAATTACATTGAATATTGGGGGAGACCTAAAGTCCCTATTACATTCTAAATACATCATCATCAAAATCTATGATATTTTTCCCAACAAACTCCCAGTCAATAAAGTTTTCCCCTCACAGGTTTTGGCTCTCGACGATGTAGCGCAGGTTGGTGGCATGACCGTTCGTGTTGTTCGATGCCATCTATAGACTTCAATTGCAAACTAGGTTATCTATCGTGTTGCAAAAAATTAATTTTTTCCACTATTTTAACAAACCAACAACCCTCAATGTTGATTAGGAGATTCTCCTAGAGATTCTCTTATTAGGCCAAGATCCATATTTTATTAAATTCTAGTTGACCTGAGGTTCGTACCTAGAATTTAACTATTTAGGTAGGAACATAGTTCCAACTGTCGAACCGCGCACACAGTTCATGGTCTTGAGTTAGGCGAACGACAATACTACTAACGGACCAGGACACTGTTTCATCGTACATGTGATTGGCTTTGGCACGTACCACATGTGCAACTACTTAAGTTAGGGCAAAGCCCATTTAAGTCATAGAGACCCAACTTCTGGCTGGATGAGTGAGTAAAGTAATTCATCTTGTCAGTTTAGTGACCCCAACAAAAACCGCCTCTGAGTCATCCATCCATTTGACTGAGACTCAGTTAATTCCAACCCAACGTCTGACAATGACCACTTTAGTGATTCCCGTGACCAGCATAACATGCACTGTACAACGCTCTGCTAGGGCTGAGTACGTGATAGTGCACATTAGCCAGAAAGGTTCCAGGCGCCGGAAGGCAATACAGATCGACTTAATATTTCGAGGGATTTTTAAATTTTACAATCTCACTTACGACACATGCCACGCACTGTCAATTTACTACCGTTAAACATACATTCACATGCTAACACTTTATGGCCAAGGACAATCCCTTCCTTTACCATAAAGTGACATTTCTCCCAACTTAAAGCTAAATTTTTTTCTTCACATCTTTTCAAAACATTCTCAAGATTATGGAGGCATTCATCGAAGGTTTCTCCATACATGGAAAAATCATCCATGAATACTTCCATAAATTTTCCAATAAACTTTTCAAAGATAGCAAGCATACATCTCATGAAAGTAGCTGGAGCATTACATAGACCGAAATACATTCGCCGCTAGGCAAATGTTCTTATGGGACAAGTAAAAGTGGTCTTATCTCGATCGGCAGGATCAATCAGTATCTGAAAATACCCACTCATCCCATCGAGGAAACAATAATAACCATGCCCAACTAAGTTCTCAATTAATTGATCTAAAAAGGGAAGAGGGAAATGGTCTTTTCGGGTGGCGTCATTTAATTTCCTATAGTCAACAACCATACGCCATCCGGTTACTACCCTATTAGGAATTAATTCTCCCTCATCATTACAAATCACTGTCATCCCTCCCTTTTTGGGTACCACATATATTGGACTTACCCAATTACTATCAGAAATAGCATAGGTGATACCTGCATCCAAAAGCTTCATTATTTCCTTTTTCAGGACCTTTCTAAGATTAGGGTTCAACCTTCGTGGGTGTTGGGCCATCGGTCTCCTCCCTTCCTCAATGAATATCGTTTGGGTGTAGAAGGTTGGACTAATTCTCTTAAGGTCCTCAAGCTTTCGAGCAATAACATGCCCATAAAGCTTAAGCAACTGTATCAACTTACCTTTCTGCTCCTTGGTGAGGTCTGAAGCTATAATGATTGGACATTTTTCTTCTTCATCTAAGAATGCATACTCCAAGTGAGAGGGTAAGGGTTTAAGTTCAGGAGTAGGCTGAGGTTCGTTCTCTTCTTCATCCTCATCCTATTCGGCTTGAACCCGCATTACCTCTTCTGCATTCTCTTCTTCCAGCTGAACTTGGTCACAAAACTCCATCAACTCAAAATACGTCTCTCCTGTTGAATTAGCCATGCTGATAATATGTTTGTTTTGTGGGCCATTTTCAGAAGAAGAGGTACCAAACCAATAATCATCCAAAACATCAATAACATTCAAAAAGTTACAAGAGTTGGAAGACATAGGGTCTTGGTTTGCTATCTCAGGAAGCCGGAAAGTACAAACATCATCACCGACTCTCAGAGTTAGTGAACCATCAGTCACATCAATCAAGGCCCTACCAGTAGCTAAGAAGGGCCATCCTAAAATAAGAGTTCCCTTATCTTCCATCTCCAAAACAATAAAGTCAAAAGGGAAAATAAACACATCCTCAACAATACCTAAAGGATAAGTGATAGAACTATCAGCAAGCTGTATACACATTCTAGTAGGTAATAGATCCTTAATACCTAGCTTTTGAGCTACATAAGATAGCATCAAATTAATACTTGCTCCTAAGTCGGCTAAGGCATTATTAAAGGCCACATTATTTATCGAGCAAGGAATGGTAAAACTACCTGGGTCTTTTTGTTTCTTTGGCATGTTCTTGGTTAGAACCGCCAAACATTCAGCATTCAAGTTTGCCAAGTTTGCTACCACACGATCATTACAAGGCTTTTTATTAGCTAACAACTCCTTAAAGAATTTGGCATACTTTGGCATCTCAGGCAAGGCATCCATTAATGGTAAATTAATGTGAAGGTTTTTTAGCATATCTAAAAACTTAGCATAGGTTAGGTGATCATCTACCTTCTTTATTCTAGAAGGGAATGGAAGCATAGGTCTAGGGATGGGTAGATCACCTAACTTAGCACGTTCAGCCTCATCATTTTTATTACCAACCTCCTCAATTTCTTTATTAATATCTACATTAAGTGGAGTGGGTGCTGGTGGTGTAGGGTTGACCAAAACCTTCTCACCCTCAACTAATTTCTTTCCGCTTCTTAAAGTTACAGCTTGAACATGCTCACGTGGATTTGATTCATTTGTGCTGGGTAAATTCCCAGGTGAACGGTGGGTGAGAGTGTTACCTAACTGACTCATATATTGCTTAACATCATGTAATTCTCTTTGAAATTCAGATCTTAATTCAGTTTTAATGCTAGGCAATTCAGATTTTAAGTCATTTATAGTCTTAGTCAAATCTCCTAACATTTTCTCTAAGGAAGAATTATTCTCATTTGATCTAGCATGTGGTGGAACATAAGTCTGAGAATTACTTCCCTGATATCTCCAATTACCTCCATTATTATTCCTATTATTTGGGCCATCATTTCTCCAATTATTACCAAAGTTCCTTTGATTATTATAGTTATTAGTTCAGTTACTTTGGTATTGGTTATTTTGATTGGCCCATGGTTCTTCATTTTTACGTGCATATTCCATCAGATTAACATCATGAGAATTATAATTATCATAAGGACATGCAGATGTTAAATGGGAACCCATGCAATTTTCAAATGAAACGACCAATGCAGAAGATTGAGAATGAGGGGCAT